ATTTGATTCTTTAATGAAATAATATTTTTGCTGTCACCTCCTGTCAGGCCTGATATCCGGCCACACTAATTACTGAGATATGGATTTTTGTTCACAGATGAGTTGAGTCAACAGATCAGTCGACAGAAACGCAGTCGTGTGCATCCATGCGCAGATTGCTGAGGCTCTGATATCCAGAGAGGAAAACTAACAAGACATGTTAAGTCATTCTCTCATTGTTTCTGATGACGGTCTGCTGAGTCCTAACTAGCCCTACACTGTGAGAAAAACAAATTAACCCCCTGGGGTCCCAGAGCATTTTCGCGATTTTTACACATCTTAAATTTGCATTTTACGGGCACTAGTATACGGCATGATACCATGCATGAATTTCTCTCGTTTTGTCTGGTGTCTGTACAGCAAAAACAAACGTGTTTCCAAGGGATGAGTACGTGCTTTGATATTTCCTGAGTGTTGATCGGTTGGCAATCTCAGAACCCATCGCTATCATCTGACGATGATAGAGCCAATATTTTGGGGCTTCCGGTGGAGACAGCAGATATCTGAACCAAGAAGAGTCTTCTCTTCCTTGTCTTCTGTTCGCCACACAGTTTACACTCCACTAGTTTCTTTAATCACACAAAAACCAAAAAAAGGCTTCCTGCTCTTGTGCCTTGCCTACCGTCTGCATATTCACATGAATGATCTGTTTAGAGAGATGAATTGGTTGGTATCGCACAAAAGGCAAAATCATAAATCAATCCTGTTTTTTGCGACGGTAGCAACAGATGACACATGTTCTGCTATCTTTTCAAAGGCTTGTAACTCACATTAGGGGGGATCTGGCAGAGGGATCTAAATGAGAGCTGAGACTATACCGATTTTCACAATGTCTAAAGCATGAATGTGGGTTGTATTTTTAATAGAAATACTGATTAAGACATGCAGACACATCCTTAGACCTCAGTTATCAGACTGATGAGGTGTGTGGATCCAATAAGTTGGGAAAGGTTGAAGGAATCTGAGGGACTCATGAAGGTGGCAAGTTAAAAAACCTTTAATACCTCGTGACTATTGAATCATAACAACAGTGGAACATGCCGACACATTTCAGCCATATCAGGGCAAACCCAAAATGGCCTTCCTTAGGCTTATACCTATGATTAGTATACACTAGAGGATTT